CATGTGGACGGCAAAATATGCAATGCACTTACTGAAACAAATTCAAGGGAGAAATGCCATCTACGTGGCGCAACATCAAAGTAATTTAATAATGTCGAGGAAACGATTTGAGGATTATAAATATTGAAAACTCGAGATGTGGATTATCTGTCTTTTCGTGGGTAGATTCGCATATTTTAATGTCTTTTGCATTTGGCAAAATTTCGAGTATTCGGACATAATACAGGTAGATAGTTCGTTGAAAAATAACCATGGCATTACATGCCAGCATGTAGGTGGCATGTACAGTACACACAACTGTTTTATACATGGATCTTCCGCACTGCTGTCCGTAGGACAACTGACAGAAAGGCCCAAGACGCTCGCGGTATGGATTTTAAAATGTACAGAGAGCATTACGTCAGAAAGTATAGTCGGGAGGAGAGTAATATTTAAATATTTTTAATTTCATTGAGTTCGGATCTCGCGATCACCACAAGAGAAAATTTCAAATTTCAATTAACATTTAATAGTATCCAGATAATTAAAACTAAAAATAATAATTAAATTTAAATTTACGTTATTTGTGTGTGGCGGCGGCGGATCATTCTGCTTTTAACATACAGTATATATAGATATAGAATATATAGGCTATATGAAATAATATTTTATTGCGTTTATAAGCACTTTTATGCGTGAAATATAACTAGAAAGGTAAAAAAAGGTTTCGTAAGGTAAAAGGTAAAAAAAGGTTCTTTTGGGAAAATTTGATTCGGTTTTCGAACAACTTTTAGGAACGAATTAAGTTCGAAACCCGAGGTTTGACTGTAATTTTATTAAAAAAATATTCTGGAATCTATCTTGGCGATTTTTAACATTTGTTTATAACCCTAGAAAAAATATCCAACTTAAAAATTCTATCAATTAAAATTTCATAAAAATTTCGGACTTCCGATTTGTAGTAATGAATTGTCTCCGCTACCGCGGGGACACTTAGCTATTATTTACACTGTCTTTCACTAATTTCTTCTTTTTTTCATAAAGGCACAGACGACGTTATTTCGCAAGTATGAAAAGTTACGTAACGTTAAAAAAATCTATTAATTATAAATCAATATTGTTTGCAAACACTCGAGGAAATAAAGAAAATGTTATCAAAAAGATCAAGAAAATGAAATAGAAAAAAATATTTAATAAATATTTGTTAAATGAATATCCTAAGAATCTTAAAAAATGATATGATAAGTACGATTCAGATAGATTTAAAGTTAAAATAAAACCAAAGTCTCTTCGATATTTCCATTTTCCATATATAAAAGCTTTGTTTGAAAAATATAAGAGTGAATTTCATAAATTTTTCATAGTGTTGGCTCCTTCTCAAAAGAACAGAGTATCGTGAAAAAAGGAAAAAAAAGTAGACGGCCGGAGCAGTTTACAAGGGAGTTTCTGCTTGTGAAAATCAAACTAAATATTATTTAGGAGAAACGGAGATTACTCGAAAAAAGGGCAAAAACGTCGAGCATTAGATTAGGTATTGTGACGCCTTTGTGGTATTGTATTGGCGTTACGATTTGCTTCCGTACAGCGTGCAGTACCGAAGCAAATCGGAACACCGGTACAAATAATATAAACATTTTGTTTAAAGAAAAGAATAATATTAAAAGAAAATTTAAAAAACATTTTTCAATAATAAATAAAGAAAATATGAATAATATTTACTGAAATAAAGGCATTAATGCCGATGAGTGTTGGAATCGAATTGTAAACTGTAAATACATTGCACGTTGATTGCATTGTACTATGATTGAAGAGATTAAAGTGTCGTCACTTTGGCGAAATGCATTTGATAGGTTAATTATAATTGTATAAGAATAAAAGAATCCTTTCTTGATTTAAGTGCTGTTTGGATGTTTTTAATCACCTGTAAAGTCGGAATGGGCTAAGTGTCTTTTTTTTAGAAGTGTGTGTCTGTTCCTTACTTATTTGGATCCAAATTCAAAAATTGAGCTGAAACTTCAAATCTCGAAAAGAAATTTGCGGTTTCAGAGGTAACAGATTGAGTTAAATCTTCCGACAATACTTTCTTCACATTCTTTTCATTTGTTGTTACTTACTACTGTTCCTCAAAACCAGCGGATCTCATAGTTTCGACCGTTTTCAGTTTTGTTTCCTCCGGCATAAGTGCATCAAACAAATAAACCACTATTATCTCGGGAGCCAAATACCGTAAAAGTCCTTCAACAAGAGATTTGGTCTAGCACATGAAGAACCGCAATAACTTCCGAAGAGACCTGCTCCTTGACAAAAGCTGGATCCAGAAAAGGTCAAAGAAACAAAGGTTTGTGGATGTAGCATATTATAATTTGCTATAAACCGACCCTACAGAACATTTGTAAACATCTTTCGCTGATCTATAGGCACTATACTTTTGCTTTTTTTTAGGGATCGTCCGGAGTTTTTACGGGCGTTGTGGTGAAGAGACAACTCGAAGAAGCTCTAGCTCGTGCTATGAACAAAACTGAGTGTAATACGCGAAGAGCCAGATATTCCCTATAAAGATGACTCCTCTTTGAATCTCATCGATGAAGATGCGGTTCGATAACGCTTTTTCGATAACGAACATAACATGGATGACTTTATTCCGACAACAATTTCTGGAAAAAGTAAGAACAACACGCGACATTTTGCTGCAAAAATAGTGAGTAATTTGGACGAGAATTTCACTTCAAGAGGAACAAATTCCAATTTTCAGATGAAAAAGAGGCGAATGTAAGCAAGCTCGACATTGTCCACTTTACCGTGGTGAACGCGGTCGTTTAGCTAAAAGTTAGGCATTTTTGATTTTTTTGCTTACGGAATCATTAAACGTAGCATTTCATACGTATCCAGATAATGGTCACTAATTTCACGCTGGTCAAGAACAGATAGCAACTTCTTCCTCTCTTCTTGCCGGAAAACAGCGTATGCAGAGGGGAGAAGGCCGACGAGCTCGGAACTTTATCTTCCTCCACCCGGTCAAATTTCCTGGCATACTCGTCGAATTACCGTCCAAAGCGACTTTTTCCCTACAAGTTCTTTCTTTTGTACGGTGGGAAAAATATTCCGTCATCGTCAGCGGGAACGTAGCGAGTGGGCAACGCGAATAGGCCCATTTCTCCTCGGACACGAAGGTATTTCAGTTCCGGGGATTAAGTTTCTTCCTTCCTCACTTCCGTGTTTAGCGGTATTTCTTCCGGAAATAGAGCAATGCGGACGGCGCCACGCCGAGTGTCCGAACGAAGTATCCCTCGCACCAAACATTTGATGCCGGGAGCACCCTTATTCTATCGGGCACGCGACTTTATGTCACTCGGAACAGTTTTGAGGGTGCGTCCAAAGAAATTCTAAAATGTAATTTTATTGACGTTAACGCGGATCACCCTGAACTGTACAGTACATAGGCGACTGGGCGGCCAAAATTCTTCGACACACCCCGTATATTACGACGCGAGTAGAAGCGACTACGCGGGGATTGCCCATCGGATCAAATGTATTCGACTACGAAAGAAAAATTATTTTCACCGGATTACCATGCGCCAATAAATTGGTGGAAGGGAAATGATCCGGACTCGGCAAGAGGTGGCGCTTCCTCTTTTAGAGTTTCGTGTGAATTTCGGAAGGTCCAACTGCCGCTCTACGCTTACAAACCGGACTCATTTTAAGCCGGTCTTTTCCTTCTGACCTTTCCGTTTTCCTCCTTAAAACCGTCGTCGGAGACTGGAAAACGGCCGTTTCTTCGCGTGTCCCATCCAGTTTTATTGCCGCAGAAAAAATAATAATCCGAACGGAAACAACAGTCCGATGTTTATTCTTGGCTAAAGACAAACATGGCGCCGGGAAGCGGTACCCACCACCCTTTTACCCTTGTTGTCGTTTTCTACACTCGAATGAACATCGGACCGTGGTCCGAACTGTGGAAATTCTTTTACGTTTCGGATGTTTTTGTCCGGGTTTCAATCGGTTTTTGGTTTCCCATTGTGGTATTACTCCGAGACCTCGGTCGACCGCCCACTCGACGCTTCCGAAACGCCCTTTAATAAAATCGTTATAAAGTATTAATTGTGATAAATTTGAGCTTTTCTTATTCCGAATAAAATTCGTTGGTTTCCGTCAACCTTTATCCTTACCGGCATGAAGTTAAGCCGTAAAAGTGAAATAGCTCTACGGGGGAACCCCCAACCTTTACCTAGGGACCCGGAAGTTTGGCCGGCCCTCACCCGTAACCAGAGAGGCTTAATTTTAAAATTCGAACGTTGTACAGTACATCAGAGCGGTGCCGGACGAAAAGACGAAGAACAAAATACACCTTTTTCGGCCATTTTGACACTTTTCCTTTAAGGAAAAACCTACGTAGTTCCACAGAACTAGAGTTGGTTTCTTTCCGGGTAGATATTCGGAACTCCTTTAGGAGTTTAGGGGCGGCCAAGTCGACCCCCCAACTCGGATTCCGGTAAATGCGATCGGTGGGTGACTTTACCGGGCTCCCGCTGTCCACCGTCACTCCGGATAATTCCGCCTTTCTCCGGGAGACGAAACCAAGCCGGACATCTTCCGGTTCCATTTCTCTCTCCAACAGATTACGTGGGAAAAGGGGACGACGGAAGTAAAGGAGCCGGCGACGTCCGTTTTCAAACGGCCAAAGGCCATTTTTAGGAGAAAAACAGTCGAAATTCGTTTTTAGTCCCAGTTTCGACTTTTAATTTTTACAAGGTTCTTCTTCGGCCGAAAATTCTCTTGTTTTACAGAAGATTCCTCCTCCCGTCGGGTATGGAGGAGAGAGACAACGGGGGCCGGTAAAAAGGCAGACGTCAACTACGTATGTTTCGGGCGCCAGAGAAAACATCCTCCTCCCACGGGAAAGGACTGCACTTAGGTTAAAGGTCGGCGTAAAGGGGGTGGCGAATTGTACGTGGCCGACGTCTTTACTTTGTTCCGGTTAAACGAGTGTTTGGAGCCGGAAGAAAAGGAGCAGAGGACGAAACTTCTTACATGAATCGTTTATTTGAAAACGTGTTTACAGAGTTCTGCATAAAAGTTAATATTTGTAAAATTCCAGAAAAAGACCAAATCGGTTGGTTTTTATTTATTTTATTGTCGTTTTTCGGCACGTAATTCGATCGTTCACAAACTGTTAAAATAATTCGAATTAAATTAAACGGAATGGATAAAAAATAAAATACCCGGGAATTTCGGACACCTGCTTTTATATATATATATATAATATATAGTGTAAAAATGTGGAGAAAATGATAAGAATAAGAGACAAGTGACCTATATCGGTTTTATTTATGCATCGACACAGAGGGTAGCGGAAACGGGACGTGTTGACCACACAGACAGATATGTAAAGCAGAAAACACAAGTGTTGGTAGAAATGTGACTTTCGTTTTCGCTGGTGCTTCCCTGATGTCAAATATATTTTGTTGACAAAATCTAAACTAACTTTCACAAGATTTTTTACATTTCTGAAAATAAATTACAATGCTAACCTAGCACCAGTTTTTCACATCCTTTTTTTATTTAAAATTTTTTTCTTTTATTATTAATATTTTATATATATATATATATATTCTTTTAAACCTAAACATACAAATTCAGAGCTAGTGATCGTTGTTTCGTATTCTACTGTTGTCCATGAATTAGATATAATCGAAAATATATCCTCTGTTACAGTTTTTCTTCTAACTAATCGTACATCATCGTTAGACTGTCGAATCGCTAAATAAACGTCTAGATTATCTATACAGTGATTAGTCATGGTATGTCAAAAAGAAGGCCTTTTATACATCTTTGTTAAAACAGAAATATAAAAGACCCTACCTATGGCTCCTTTTTTTTCTTTATAAATAGTTTGTAATAATTATTCTAACCGAAGCCTGTACAATGTTTGCCTAAAATCACGCTGCAAATATCGACAATCCACACCTAAAAAAACAGAAAACAAATCTATGTTTTTCGTACAAAATAGAAAAACAAATGCGGTCGCTAAAAATGGTCGACTGTTCTTAAATACATGGCAGATGAAATTATTTATATCACGATTTCCGTGCGGGACGAACCTGCCCTTTCCGAGGGCGGTCGTCCGCGCAAATTATCTAACAAAATAAATTATTATTTATAATTAGGATTTGAGATGTATACGAAGCTGCTTTCACAACACCATGAACGGTGAGGGAAGTCACATAATGATACATGATGATGATTTCCAAATATATCTAATTAATACTAAGTCTACGGGACTAATGGTCACGGTGGATGAATAATTTCACATACACGTACGTACCTCGCTTCTGTTTGTCGTGGGCACGATATCCGAAAGCAAAAGGTGGTCTCTACCAACACACAACTAATGCTCCTATGTATGGTCGACAAGAGATTACATTGTGACTAAATAGCAGCTAAATTGAATTCTAGGCATCGGAGAAATATTTGTTTGTCCTGAAAGGCCTCACAAATGACACCAAAGTGTTTTTAATATTGCTTTCATTTCGGCTTCTGTGATACCATCACTCGTTGATTATTCATTTATGTACTTTTTTTAAACTTATGCTGGTAAGATAAGAATAACTATACGTGCTATCTAATTGCCGTTACAAAAATCCTGTCGAGACGGGATCGGGATTGCCGCGAACCCTCGAATCTTGGGGCTACGTGGGTTCCGGCAGACTACTACTGAAAGCAAAAAATAATATCAAAGTATGAAATATTTTATAGGTCTCTTGCCTTGTAACAACTGTACATGTCGGCATACATGAAACAACAATGGTTACTATTGCTTTGTTTTGTGGAAAACCACATCCAGTTGATACACTAACCACATCTAGTGCATCACTTTGACATAGAATACATGCATAAAGGGGTCCGTATACAGATACAATAAAACTCCACTTTTCCGGGAGTATCTTATTAGGAACCAGTGGACAGATGCTACGGGTAGGCCATTCCCGTTCCCGAAACGGGAAAACACGAAGGGTTACGTCACGATAAGACAGGAACTGATGGGTTCGTGGGGAAACTGGCTCCGATCACTAAGTTACGTCTGGATGGTGATATTGCTTATTGTGTTATTTGTCTTACTTTCTCATTCGTGCCATCCAACTGTGCATCACTGCCAGTTTTTTTTTTTTTTTGTTTTTTTTGGACATTCACAAAAGGAACCAGACCTAGGCAAAACTCTAAGAGGTAGCCCGCCGTTTGGCCTCCGTCTTTATAATACATAGACAATCACAAGTAGAACACCAGGCAAAATAAAGTCCCACAGAATAACAGCCTGGCCATTTGTCGAGTAATATAATTGATCAACATGGCTCGTGAGTCTTGCCATGGAAATTTACAAGATACGATACAAAGGTTTCTACTCTGGAACGAACGAGATACTACTATAACATTCACAGAAATCCGACGACTAAAAGCTTCTAATGGTAAGACTGAGAAGACGTTTGCCCCGTTGCTTGGCATCCCAAATGTTGGAGATTATTTATCCCCTTTTAAAACATTTAAAAAGTAGGGCCACTCCGAATACACTGAGCTATAGGAGATAAAATTTTTCACAACAATAGCAACAATATCATAGAAACGAAATGGGCTCGGGAATCACACATATAACAATGTCAACAAAAAATGACAGTATATGGATTAACATGGTGATGACGGTAGCATAGATTATGATGTAAACCGGTTACGATTCGGAACAGACCGATGAGTGAATAATGCATCCAAGTGTTCGAATATCAACACGGAACACAACACAGGTATGAAACGCACTGGTCATCCTTTTCTATTCACGTGTACGCGAGACAAGCGAAGATCACCACCAGGGGCCTCACCGTCGGTGGCAGTCGCGGCTCGTCCTTCACATAACAAGTGCTGTCTAAGGCCTGTGGTTGCAAGGTGTTTGGTGTTGCCATGGTGGGTGTTCGGGAGCCGCACTCCACTCGGAGGAGTAACCGAACGCAGCAGTGAAATACGGTGCAGAAGGAAGGTTATACTCAGAGCAGCCTCCCTGAGTGGAAACACCAAATGTCATCTGCAAAAACAAAATTCTTTATTATAGCATTTCTTTTAAAATATCATATATAAGAAATAGAAAAGCAAATATAATAAACGTGTATTAATTAAAACGTTAAGTTCGGAAAAATCTACTAAATATTTTTATCATTTTTTTTTTTAATTCGAAATGATAACATTCCTTTCATTGTTGTAGTCGGAGTGATTTATTACATTTTATCACCACTGACGTCATTACGAAAGAGATATAATAAGCGGGACACGGATTTCTGCGTATTTAAGCAATCGATTTTGTCCAAGTTAAACTTAAATTGACGAGAAGAAACTTTAAATATCAGTTTATGTTTTTAAACAATAGAAAAAAAAATGTAGTATTACAAAATAATATTTCACACGGAATACGGATAGCTATGTCCAAATCTGCCATTGCAAGACGGTAGAAAATAAAAATATCCGAACCTTACAAGGGGAAAAAATTAGAGCAGAACTTTTTACAATTAAATCTTTTCGTCGTAAAGCAAAATGTATTGCAATAACTAAAAACTCTTGCAGTAAATACTAATACATCCGAAAACACGTTTCTTTCTTTTATTTCCTTCGACGAATTTAGGTGCCATGTATTGTACTTTTTGCAGTGGCGCGTTATAGCTTGACGGGGCCCGGGCAAATTTGAATTGGAGGCCCCCGTGTACAGTGTTGACTTCAGACATTATTCTTCGGAGAAATATTATATAATAAAAGATTGGTTTGGGGTCCCAGGCAATTGCCCTTTTTTGCCCATAGGATAACGCGCCACTGACTTTTTAGAAAAAAAAGAAAACTCTTTCTACGGAAAATCATGGCATTCGATTGTTAATATTTGCTACGTTTGTCGACTAAAGTAAATATTGCTATCCCGTAGAATGTAATATCGGTAAAGCGACATAAACGTTCGACCACGATCGAGTTATTACCATTGCGGACATTTCGTTGACGATCGAAATCCGGTTTAAAATTATTTTGCTCCTATTCCTAAAAAAAATGTAGAAAAACTCTTTAAATTTGTTGACAGTTTAGGTGTCGCGTGTATTGTCAAATAATCATTACCTTGCCGTCCACAGTTAGCGGGTGCTCAATGGTATCCGTTAGTAAAAGCTGCAGCAATCAAAGGTCCCTGCAGACAACAAATTGCCAATTAGTCGTATAACATTGATTATAAATTCTTATAAAAATCCATAAAGCACCGAGAAAGACATCCGCGGTTACAATTTAAACGTCGCTTTCCAAAGCCACCGCGTATAACGCGCACATTTTCCACTTTTAGTCCGTAAAAATGATTAAAAATGAGTTTTCTTACGATCGTCCCGAAGGAATTAATCGTTACGTTTGGAAAGGAAGAAAAAGTCGACAATACTTAAATAACTATTAAGGAATAACAGGTAATTATCGTTGCGAAAAAATGCATTAATAGCTTTACTTAAAATTTGAAAAAATCGCCAATAATTCAAATGTAAATTATGTTTTTTGTAGACGAAGAAAACGATCGGCAATTACATAGTAAATTATTATAAACGAGAGAAGCGAGTAACAAAAAACTTCATTAAATAAATAAGGCGCATGCATCACAATTTCGTTTAATATCTTTCTCCATCGTTAAGTCTACGGATCTGCACAAAGATCTATTTTTGTTTCGTCGTTAATACACCCGTCCTATCGGGTTTTTGACATTCTTTTCTAATTTATTACCTCTTTCCTATAAATAGAAAAATTTAATTATTCATTCTTTATTTTACACCGCAAGTATTCTATTTATAGGGACAAGGGAATGCATATTGTTCTCGTTTGTACCTTATAAACCACAAGCTTGATCAGTTTTGTCACTATTTATTCGCAAAATATCCGAGACAACCCGAAGAAAAAGTACTGTCGATCATTAACGACGTTTAACTTTAAAGATAGCGAAATACAAAACAGAAAACAAGAGGAGATTACAACACTTATTCTCCGTTAAACCGTAACACAAATAAATGTTCAAATGCTCGCCTAAGTTATTAAAGAAATTACAGTGACGAAAACTCCGACGTAGACAGAAAAACCCCCTGACCCTACTAAAAGCCAAACGTTTCTATTTAATTAAATATTGTCGGTTATAATTTGCGCAATTATTTCGTCATTCATTTATAGTGTAGAGGTTCCCAACTTGTAGAACCCCCGCACTAAATTCGTCGAGCGAATTTTTATTGCGAAATCACAATAAAAATTTGGGATTCCACAATAAAATCTGTCGAGTCAAGTGATGTATGAATGTTCCAATGCAGATTTAGGACGTGAGGTGTGATTGTTATAGTCTCGGGTATCGTCATACAAGGAGTCTATACACGTGCTAAAATTATTTATAGCTTTATAAACAGTGAGAACCGATTTATCGGTAACGGAACGAACCGAAATCGTCACATAACCTTTGAGGAGGTAATGGAAACCATAAAAACAGTAAAACACAAACTAAAGCTAAAAAATCATTCAAAAAATCATAACCTTAAAAAGAGGAACCAACATATAAATATAAATACAATCGTTAAATGTGTATATATAGTAAAAGCAATATGTTCTGTTATTACTGCACACAAATAACGTAAATTTAAAAATAACTTTTAAACGGTGTTTAATTAAGGTGAAAGGGGTTCCGTGATAAAAATAAGTTGGGAAACTTTTGATTTAGTGTTAATTAGTAAAACAAATGGCACTCGGAAAAGCGTTAAGCCACGATATTACAGAAGTAATTGTCGTCTTTGGCAAAAACAGAAATAGTCCTTACGTCAAATAGCTTCCGACCTACAAATTTACGGACCATGGAGAATTCTGGCGCAGAAATTGTCAAAGAAAAGCGGCATGGACGGCCTTTGAGCAAAAGGCAGTCGCTAATAAGCGAGTAACTAAAGAGACCGGTCGAAGACGTTTGCAGAAGCCTTTTAGAAGGTAAAATAATAGCGCGATACGACAATGTGGCCGTGTGATTTTTCTTTTCGAGCTACGAAAAACCGACTAAAGTGAGAAAAGATGAAAATGGGTGCAGAAAGAGTGGAACCGTAAAGAAGAATTTGAGATTTTCATGGGAAGCAACAAAATCGAGCGATCCGAATCCTTTCCTCCCGAGTGTCTTAATCTAACCACCGAGTTTCTGGAAGCGTCGCGGTATGGAGGTTCGGCATTCTGCATTGAATGCAAGAAAAACAGAATCTTCGAGTAAATCGTCTTCCACACTGGAAAAACTGCAGAACCCAAACGTACGAATTTCCAAACTGCCGAAACGAAGAGGGTGCGGCCGACCAATCGCAAATTAATGTGACGAGTTGGGCACGCAACAACCTAGATTCCTCCCCGGAAATTACCAGGAAACGGGAAAGAATTTCTACAAAAAAGACGTCGACGGACGGTGACTGGCTTACGTGGAAGAAACACAGAAAGTCCGCGGTGGAATCATCCGAGAAAAGTGCGGGCTTTTATTAATATAACGGGCGAATGGGCAAATACGGCGTTACGAGTAAAAGTGCGATAAAACCGGATACGTGTTACCGGTATTTTCTGTCGACTAAGTGTCTTAAGTGTTTTTGTCAATTGCGCTTTCTTTAAGTATTTGTTTAACAAAATTTTCGGTCAGATTATTCTTATAGAAAGGATGAAGTCGACGAACTGACTCCTTTACTTAGAATTTCGCCATTAAATTTATTAGCCATTTAAAAAATTGAGTGAAAAACGCTAATTTTTGCACTTGACAAACGGAAGAGATTTTATAACAATTTTTGCACGGGATACACTGTGAAGTCAATTTTCAATTTCAAACACTAAACGGGTCTCTCCGCCAGAGGAAATGGCCAGACTCTATAATAAATAAAGAACGTTTCATATCGATCATTCAATTATAGAAAGGTGCGAATTTATACTTTAGGATTTCAGAAATTTTCCACAAAGAGCACGGGACTTATTAAGCTTCAAAGAGAGTGAACAAAATCGTTTCGAGTTCCCCCGAGTCCAAAAATGTAAAAATCTTCGGGGATCATTTTTTGACGATCGCCAATGCTTCTCTAAGATACCCGGGCGACGTAATGAATGCCACAAATTGGGCATCGTCTGATGACTTTGGGGTATCGGACGACGATCCATTGTACTGTACTGTACACTCGATGACGACGACGTTACGCGCCCAGAAGAAATTGCCCGATTACCGCAAAACTCGGCATACAGCTGCCTTAGATAAGTGTGCAAACGATCGCAGTTTCGCAGTTGTATTCCGATTGCATTCCATCAAAGCTCATTAAAATCGCTACTCCAGTAAAAACGTTCCCAGAGGTTCTCTGTGTTCACAATTTTTGGTATATTGTTGCTCGAAGGTCTTCGAACTCTAAGCATGCTTGAACGAGGCAGTCAGACGTTACGCCTAGCTGACAAAGATGCATCTTCGGGTCCAGAGAAGCAGAATGGCCATTTCGCCGAGTTGCCCGCCATCTAGGTCTTTCTGACTGGTTGTGAAGAGATATTGGGGGCAGTAGAGACATACACTGGACCCAGAGAGATGATCATTATGGAACCTTTGTCCATCATCCAGAGACAAGTGGAAGCTTCGTTAGAGTTATCTTTTATCCCACACCATTGGAGGCAATTAGCAGAAAGGAATTTTCACACACAGCGACCTTTACGCATCCTGTCAATTTTTTTTCTCTTTTTTCATTTTTCTCTCTCTGCCTTGTGGCCAGTATGATAGCTTTCTTAAATCATATTCATCGTGGATTCGGAAATCTCGGTTCTGTTTAGGAACGAACGATCATGTGTTAGTGTGGAGGACCACTGGTGACATTTCAATCTTGTCTTTACTGTCATCATTCTCACTATTGATGACGAGATGCAGGACGTGACTGACTGACATACAAGATGGTTCTCCACTAAAGAGCATCTCGTATGACAGTCAGTCACACCTTGTAGAGGCACGAGGGACATTGGCGACACAGTAGATATGTTGCCTTTCGTGGCAGGGCCGAAAACAGCCATTTTCCAGCAAGATGGTGATCGGCTGTACACAACCAGGATTTTCCAAGAATGTTTCTACCACGTTGTCACTCCTTCTGCCAGATCTCTGGATGTATTGCTCATCCAGCATTTGTAAAACCAGATGGGACACCAGCTTCAGGTTCTAAAAGCGTGAGGTATCTGGAGCGGTAGTTGTAATATCTGTGGGCAAATCTAAGTCAGAAAGGCAAACGTTGCCTCTATATCTCGATGTCCGACTGTATCGCCGCATGTATACACGCAAGAGAAAATCCTATAAGGTTCTAAAGGTTTCTTTAAATTATATCATTGTTTCACAGGAAACTGTCCGTTTGTTGACATTGTAATCACTCATCATCAGTAATAAAGTTTCATTCGACTTCAACGCTCCTTCTGAACTGTATACCCGGGGATACGAAGACGATATTGTTCAGCTTTGTGTTAGGAAATTTCTCGGCACTCAGTCAAAACTTCTCCGAAGAAGCTAGCCAAGATGGCTGAGATGATTAAGATATCAGCTACCGCTATGACGGATCCTGGATCGAATTCCAGGCAAATCCAAAAATTCTAGGAATTTTTGGAAGTGTGGTCCATCTCGGATATGTTGGGTCCTCCACCAGTCCGTCACCACCAGGCCACTCCATTTTGACCTGGTTGACATTGAACCCACAATGAGTATGAAAAAGCACCGCCACAGTGATCGCAGGACGGAGAGTCCAAAATTCAGGTCTAACTCGTGCGCAAAGCTGTGCAGTACTGTACATCTGCACCATTGTTCTCGACAAAACTATAATTATTCAAATCTTCATTTCACTTGAAAGAAAGTATTGAAGGGATTTCCTGAGCTTCTTTTTTTGTGGAAAAAGGGTACAGTTTTCTTCTTCCGGTAAGTAACAATATTTTGCAATTTTACTACACTCTTATGGGTTTTGCATCTTGAGCAGATGTATTTTCCGATTGTGTAGTAGTGGTACAACAAAGTTTTTCATATTCCTTACGTATTCATTGTTGGCTCCCTTCTTTTGGAAAGAATTAGTAAAAAAAGAAAAAACAATTACCATAAAAATGGTCAGTTATTTTTTAACTTCAACCAAAATCGTTATGAAACTGGTCTTCACGGCGAATAAAATTTAA